CTGTTCAGAGGTTTCACCACTGTCTAGGGGCTGGGCACGGTAGCTCACACCTGTAATCCCAGTACTTTGGGAGGCTGAGGTGGGTGGATCACTTGAGGTCAGGAGTTTGAGACCAGCCTGGCCAACATGGCAAAGCCCCATCTGTACAAGAAAAAACAAAACAAAATTAGTGGTGGTGGCAAGTGGTGGTGGTGGCAAGTGCCTGTAATTCCAGCCAATCAGGAGGCTGAGGGGGGAGGATTGCTTGATCCCAGGAGGCAGAGATTGCAGTGAGCCAAGGCCATGCCACTGCACTCCAGCCTGGGCAATGGAATAAGACTCCTTCTCAGAAAAAAAAAAAAAAAAAGAAAAAGAAAAGAAGCAGTCTGGCTGCTTTTTGATAGAGCAGGTGTGCTGCACTGGGGGAATCCTTCTTTGTCCAGAATGCCTAGACTCTTCAGAGCCAGCAGGTAGGAAACACTGAGTTGACTGAACTGCAGAGATAGCGGCTGCCCCTTTCCCCATAGGCTCCATCCTGGGGAGAGATCAGAGTTCTGCCTGTATAACCCTGCCTGGAAATTCTCACAGGGAGGCCCTGCTCTGTGAGAAGGGATGGATCAGGGTCCCACTTAAGGAAGTAGTCTGGCCATGATCTGGCACAGCAGCTGTGCTGCATTGCAGAGGACTCCCCTTTGTCCAGACTGCCTGGACTCCCCAGAGCCAGCAGGCTAGAACAGCTGAGTCAACTGAACTGCAGAGATGGCGGCCACCCCTTCCCCAGGAACTTGTTCTGTCTCAGCCAGTCTCCAGTCTGTTGCTGCTGGCTGGCTGGAATTCCAAGTCAATGGATCTTAACTTGGGAGTGCCATGGAAGTGCGGTCTGCAGAACAATGCTGCTTGGCTCCCTGGATTCAGCCCCCTTCCTAGGCAATGTATGGGTGGATCTCCTGCCTCGCAGGATTCTTTTTCATCTTTGCAAGGATTTCTGGGGCTGGAGTATGTAAAACTCCTGGGTCTGTGTGTGTGTGCCTGAGTGGCTGCTCTCCTGAGACTCTGCATGCACAGCTCTGTTTATTGGACCCAAGGCCCTGGTGGCATGGGCTCACAAGGGGATCTCCTGATCCATGAGTTGCAAAGATCCGTGGGAGAAGCATTGTTTCCTGGATGGGGTCACACACTCACTGCTTCCCTTGACTGGAGGTGGGGCATTTTTTCTTTGGCTCTGTGCCGCTCCTGGGTGGGCAGTTGCCCTACCGCATTTTTCTTCATTCTCTGTGGGTCAAGTTATTCATTTGGTCAGTCCTAGAGTGAGAACCTGGATATTTCAGTTGAAGGTGCTTTATTCACTCACCATTTTCATTCTTCTCCCTGAGAGCCATGGACCACGTTTTTTTTTTTTTTTTTTTTTTTTTTTTTTAGACAGAGTCTTGGTCTGTTGCCCAGGCTGGAGTACAGTGGCGCGATCTCAGCCTACTGGAACCTCTGCGTTCCAGATTCAGGCAATTCTCCCCGCTTTAGCCTCCCAAGTAGCTGGGATTATAGGTGCCTGCCATTACAGCTGGCTAATTTTTGTATTTTTAGTGGAGATGGGGTTTTGCCGTGTTTGCCAGGCTGGTCTCGAACTCCTGACCTCAAGTGATCTGCCCGCCTCGGCCACCCAAAGTGTTGGGATTACCAGCATGATGAGCCACTGTGCCTGGCCTGCAGCTGCCTCTAATCAGCCGTGTTGGCCCCTTCTCAGTATTAGATTTTTGTCAAATGCTTTTCTGCATCTGTTGAAATGATCATGTGTATTTCTTTTCATTCTATTAATATGGCATATTAAATTGATTTAATATGCTAAATCAACCTTCCATTTCTGGGAAAAATCTCACTTTGTCGTGATGTATTATCCTTTGAATATTCTGCTGCATTTGTTTTGCTAGTATTTTGTTGAGAATTTTTGCATCTGTGTTCTTTTAGATGGGGTCTTGCTTTGTTGCCCAGGCTGGAGTGCACTGGCATGTTCACAGCTCACTGCAGCCTCTAACTCCTGAGCTCAAGAGATCCTCCCACCTCAGCCTCCTTAGTAGCTGGGACCACAGGCATGTGCCACCATACCTGGCTAATTTTTTTTTTTAAATTTTAATTTTAATGTAGAGATGGAATCTCACTGTGTTTTCCAGGCTGGTCTCAAACTCTTGGGCTCAAGCAATCCCCCGCCTCAGCCTCTTAAAGTGTTGGGATTATAGGCATGAGCCACCACACTCGGCCACATCTGTATTCTTAAGAGATGTCGGTTTGTAGTTTTTTTGGGTTTTTTTCCCTTGTGATGTTTTTGGCTTTGGTATCAAAGTAATATTGGCCCAATAGAATGAGTTAGGAAGTGTTCCCTCTGCTTCTGTTTAAGTGGACATTGTTTTAAGTGGCCAACCAAGTATGTGGTAATTTGTTATACAACATAAGAAAATTAATACAACTGCTAAAGAAAATCAACTAGAAATGAGGTGCCTTCTAATGGAAGAACAGACCATCACCTATGGAGCAGCCTTGCAAAAAATAGAAATCTGAATCTGATCAAGTCTAGACCAGGGATCCCCAACCCCTGGGCCATGGACTGGTGCTAGTCCATGCCCTGTTAGGAGCCAGGCCACACAGCAAGAGGTGAGTGACTGGTGAGCGAGCATTACTGCCTGAGCTCCGCCTCCTGACAGATCAGCAGCAGCATTAGATTCTCATAGGAGGGTGAACCCTATTGTGAACTGTGCATGCGAGGAATCGAGATTGTGCGTTCCTTATGGGAATCTAATGCCTGATGATCTGAGGTGGAACAGTTTCATTCCACAACCATCCCTGCCTCCCATCCCCAACCACTGGTCCCTGGTGTCAAAAAGGTTGGGGATCACTGGTCTAGACCCAATATCAATTTGTAGGAAATAAGGAACATGTTAAACTATGTCAGTCAGCAAATATAATCAGCAAAATCCAGATATATCAAACATTCCAGGCTAGAAAACATAAATCACACCTGCAACTGAATGTAATATAGTTTGTAATATAATTTTATATAAGGAATTAAACAGGTGTTGAAAAACCAAAAAAGCAAAAAGTGAGGTAGCATGGACAGTAACTGCAGGAAGCAACTTCCACATCTGGGACTTAGTGAACAAAGAAAAGAAGTTGGGGTTATGAGAACCTAGAGGATTGGAAGAGAAACCCCTTAGAGCTTGGACTCAGACTTGGAGATTGAGGTGCTGCCCAGCTGGTATTAATACCTCTGAGAGAACATGTTGAAGCTGGTTTGGGGAGTGGGATGAACTACCAGTGCCAGAGAGAAAGCCTGTTGGGATGATAGAGATAAGAAGACTAAGCAGACACGAGGAGCAGCAATTCCGTATCACCTCCCCTGGCCTTCAAGTATCCCTCTAGAGCTCCCGTTGGAAGACCCTAGCAAAAGAAAAATGTAGTTTGCAAAGTCCCAGTCCCAGTGTCACTAAGAGGGGTTGGAGCTAAAAGACAATAGCTTAATAATTGGAACAATAATCAATCTGGTTCTTTCACTTAATACATTGCAAGGAAAAAACAGTGATGGAAGGAAGTATATCAATTAAAAGACATGTCAAACCAGTTGTAATCTATTGACCATATTTGGATCCCAATCTAAACAAACCATATAGATATTATGAGATATTTGGATTGGGTATGAGATAATATGAAGGATTATTGTTAATTTCTATAGTGGCTAGAATGGCATTGTACTTTTTTTCAGTTCCTAGTTTTTAGAAATACTTTCTGAAATATTTACCGATAAAATGATGTCTGAAATTTTTTTCAAAGTAGTACTGGATGGAGCAAGGTGAAGGTGGTGTTGAAAACACAAGATTGAACATGAATTGATGGTTATTAGGGCTGGCTGATAGGCATATGGGGTTAATTTTATTCTTCTCTGTATGTTGTATATGTTCAGAATTCTCCATAATAAAATGTTTCTTAAAGCTGAAAAAATTCCTTTCATAAACTTTCTTTAACCTCTTAAATTGATAGTCAAGCTTTTGCTTTCCTTGATCATATACTGTTGAGAAAGCAATATTTGGAAACATTGTTGCATTTTTAACAATATCTTTAAGAATTAAAAGGCACTGCCGGGCGCGGTGGCTCACGCCTGTAATCCCAGCACTTTGGGAGGCCGAGGCGGGCGGATCACAAGGTCAGGAGATCGAGACCACGGTGAAACCCCGTCTCTACTAAAAAATACAAAAAATTAGCCGGGCGCGGTTGTGGGCGCCTGTAGTCCCAGCTACTCGGGAGGCTGAGGCAGGAGAATGGCGTGAACCCGGGAGGCGGAGCTTGCAGTGAGCCGAGATCGCGCCACTGCACTCCAGCCTGGGCGACAGAGCGAGACTCCGTCTCAAAAAAAAAAGAAAAAAAAAAAAAAGAATTAAAAGGCACATACCTTTGATGCCATAATTCTGGTTCTAGGAACTACTTGTAAATCTCTCTGAAGGCATTTATACATGGATTTTTGTTGGAAACAACTTAAACTCTCATCATTATGGGGGGGACTAGTTTAATGAATCATAGTGTAGTCACGCTGTAGAATACTACTCAGTTATTAGAGAATAAAGAAGTTCTAAATAGAGTGATATGGAATGATCTGCAAGTAAGAAAGCATTTGTGTTCTTTCTGCCAAAAAAGAATATTGTACTTGAATATATCTAGATTATCTTTGGAAAGGTAGACCAGAAACTAATAATAGTGGTGGCCTCTGAGACAGGGAACCAGATTACTAAAGGTTTTAGAGTGAGAGAGAGACTTTGCTTTTTCACTGAAAGAATGATAAATATGGGAGCAGGGATGAATGGCTATATCTGGCTGAAACTATGGGAAAGACTTTTTTTGAAAAATAAAGATAATGAAAGCTTAGTATTTCTCTTGTCTAACAAAAATAGAAAACATTAACAGGTAAATATAATAGATATTACTGTGAGATATAAAATAACTTTACTTACAAGTGGGAAATATTATCTGAATTTTTTTTTTAGGTGGTGATAGTGGACTGGATGGGTTAGGAGGACCAGGTGTACAACTAGGAAGCCCAGATAAGAAAAAACGCAAGGCAAATACACAGGTAAACTGATATTTTCTTTAATAACAGTTTTTCTTTCTAGTATGATCAGGCTGATGAGGTAAATTTAAACTTGGTCATAAGTTTTGTTTTCTATTCAAGTGATTGTACTTTCAGTCATTCATTGTACTTTCAATCAATCATTCAAGTGATGGTACTTTCTTTTTTTTGAGGTAGATTCTTGCTCTGTTGCCAGGCTGGAGTGTAGTGGGGTGATCTCGGCTCACTGCAACCTCCGCCTCCCAGGTTGAAGCAATTCTCCTGACTCAGCCTCCCAAGTAGCTGGGATTACTAAAGGCAAGCGCCACCATGCCCAGCTAATTTTTGTATTTTTGGTAGAGACAGAGTCTCACCATGTTGGTCAGGATGGTCTCAATCTCTTCACCTTGTGATCCACCCGCCTCGGCCTCCCAAAGTGCTAGGATTACAAGCATAATTACAACCGTGCCCGGCTGTACTTTTTGTTTGTTTGTTTAAGTCTGTAACTAGTGGCTATTGTCGGACTATCGGCATAGAGTAGATATTGCACAAAGGAAGTGTGGGCAAATTAAAATGCTTGTTCTTAAAGAGGCTGGGCGTGGTGGCTCACGCCTATAATCCCAGCACTTTGGGAGGCCAAGGTGGGTGAATTACTTGAGGCCAGGAATTTGAGACCAGACTGGCCAACATGGGGAAAGCCCCTCTTTACTAAAAATATAAAATTAGCCAGGTGTGGTGGCACACTTCTGTAATCCCAGCTATTCGCGAGGCTGAGGCATGAGAATTGCTTGAACCTGGAAGGTAGAGGTTGCCATGAGCTGAGATCGCACCACTGCCCACCAGCCTTGGTGACAGCGTGAGACTCTGTCTCAAAAAAAATTATAATTAAAATGCTTGTTCTTAAATCTCATGTAAAAGTTTTTCAAGGGCATGAATGCCTGTAGTTCTATTAAAAGATTTAAAAATATATAGTAACAATTTTAACCTGAAGTAATTGTTCAACTATAATAGTAATTTAGTATTATGTGCATATCACGAAGCAATCATGATGGAGGCCTTTGTTATAATTTTCGATTATAACAAGCAATTATACATATAGGCTCTCATGGTTTTATTCTTTATAAATTTGAATGATAAAGGCTCTTTTTATGATAAAGGCTACTAGTAAGTTTGTGTGTACAGATTACTGATCTTTTGATCATTTTGACCACCATCTGTTAAACTTGCAGTGTGACTAAAACTGGCAGTTTATTTTTTCAGTTTGAGGCCCAGAGCTTAATGTTTTGGGAATACTTTAATTGTATCTCCCTGAAGTTAAGCTAGGGGAAAAACTTAGATTCTGATTGTTGTTATTTAATTTTGTGACTATTTGGTGTATGAAAGGTGTTTTAGGTTAGACTGCTTTAGTATTTAAGTGAAAGATTCCAGAGTTATAGGTAAGCATATTAAATGAAAATTAGGATAATGAAGCTTCTTTTGAAAGTTAAATACTTTTGGGGTTTGAAGTTACAATGGATTTGAGCTCAGAAAATCATACTTTATTTTCTTTCGTAAATGAAATAAACCTAAAATTTTTATCAGCAAGTATAATTAAATGTAAACATTAGTCATAACTGAAAGGTCAAGTGAAGATAATAAATGTTTATAACAACACTGCAAGAGAAATTTGACTAATACTGGGTTCACAGGTATTAAGGTAACAGGACAATTTTAATAACATATTTGATCAAAAACATGTATTTTACTTTACATTTTCATTTCAGGGACCTTCTTTTCCTCCATTGTCTGAGTATGCTCCACCACCGAATCCAAACTCTGACCATCTAGTGGCTGCTAATCCATTTGATGACAACTATAATACTATTTCCTATAAACCACTACCTTCATCAAATCCATATCTTGGCCCTGGTTATCCTGGCTTTGGAGGCTATAGTACATTCAGAATGCCACCTCACGTTCCCCCAAGAATGTCTTCCCCATACTGTGGTCCTTACTCACTCAGGAACCAGCCACACCCATTTCCTCAGAATCCTCTGGGCATGGGTTTTAATCGACCTCATGCTTTTACATTTGGGCCACATGATAATTCAAGTTTCGGTAACCCATCTTATAATAATGCACTAAGTCAGAATGTCAACATGCCTAATCAACATTTTAGACAAAGTCCTGCTGAAAATTTCAGTCAGATTCCTCCACAGAACGCTAGCCAAGTTTCTAACCCTGATTTGGCATCCAATTTTGTTCCTGGAAATAATTCAAATTTTACATCTCCATTAGAATCTAATCATTCTTTTATTCCTCCCCCAAACACTTTTGGTCAAGCAAAAGCACCTCCCCCAAAACAAGACTTTCCTCAAGGAGCAACCAAAAACACTAATCAAAATTCCTCTGCTCATCCACCTCACTTGAATATGGATGACACAGTGAATCAGAGTAATATTGAATTAAAAAATGTTAATCGAAGCAATGCAGTAAATCAAGAGAACAGCCGTTCAAGTAGCACTGAAGCCACAAACAATAACCATGCAAATGGGACGCAGAATAAGCCACGACAACCAAGAGGTGCAGCAGATGCCTGCACCACTGAAAAAAGCAATAAATCTTCTCTTCACCCAAACCGTCATGGCCATTCATCTTCTGACCCAGTGTATCCTTGTGGAATTTGTACAAACGAGGTGAATGATGATCAGGATGCCATCTTATGTGAGGCCTCTTGTCAGAAATGGTTTCATCGGATCTGTACTGGAATGACTGAAACAGCTTATGGCCTCTTAACTGCAGAAGCATCTGCAGTATGGGGCTGTGATACCTGTATGGCTGACAAAGATGTCCAGTTAATGCGTACTAGAGAAACTTTCGGTCCATCTGCAGTGGGCAGTGATGCTTAATCACAGGCATTAACTAAAGTGGGTTTATTTTCCTGTGTATTGCGAAAGTTCATTGACACAGGATTTTAATGTTTTACATTATTTTTTTAAATGCATACACAAAAACATTATTTACTTAGTTTTTATTAATAATTCACTCATACTAGAGCAAATTTTTTATTGTCTTTGCTTGCTGTCTTAAATGAGAATAATGTATATGGGGGTGCTTTAGAAGCATTTATAAATAAATGTTAGTTGTTGTTATTTATCACAAACATAAAAGCCTCTTGAAACTTCAAAATAATATATAATAAATGTAGGCAAGTTTTAACTTTTAAAAGTTAGAATCATTGAAATACGTGTATTTCATTGCTGAACTTTGGTTGTACCATATTAAAGATTTAGTTCAAAAAGTTTATCAAGGATCCACTTAACACATCTTCACAACATAATATATGTAACTGTAACATGGGGGAAAGCATACATTTTTATGGATTAAAAAAATAATAGTATGACACCAGATTCCTCCTCCACTAGGGTCTTTGGAATTAATTAGTTTCATATTTTCAAGTGAGTTTTCAGGATATCTGTTTGTACAGATACAAGACAGATCTTAGCATATAGTAAATTCTCAGTAAGTATTGTTGATTAACTTGTGAATGGTACCACATGAAATTGCTAATATTAGATCAGTTGAAAATTGACTGCAATTAGTAAAGTTGGCGTAATGTATGTCCCAGTTGTGCTATTTAGAATTATGATAGTATTATGCTCCTACTTTTCTTTGATATTGAGTTTTGTTATTGTTTATTGTTTTCTAGAGGAATACTATAGTATCCACAGAAGAATTGTGAATACTTTTTGTATAATTTTGAACTGGGACATATTGCAAATGAGGAAGGTAGAAACATCCATTTGGCCTTAGAGGGCTCTGGTAGTAAAAGAACTACTCAGTGGTGGTTTGAAAAATCTTGTTCTAGGGATCTGGATATCAAAAATGAACCTTAGGGGAGATCAAAATCCATTTTAAACAAAGATCAATTAAGAGCCAAAGTGAAATCTAACTCGCAAACAACAATTTGAAGCCTTGCAGAAGACTTAAGGAGCTCCCACTGTGACTGGGGGAAAGTATAAAAATGGACCTGAGAGTACCCTCTTGAGGGATGATCAAGAATGGAGACAGTTGGAGGTGTGCTCATTAAGATTCAAAACAGCAGAAATCCATTTTTGGAGCAGTTTCTAACCTGTGGCCAAAAAAAAAAAAAAAAAGTATACTGTTTGACAGCTAATGACAATTTATACAATCGTTGGAGGCTGGTAAATCTCCCTAATATGTTGCCACCATTATCATTGCAACCAAAAAAAATTCTGAAGATTGTGTGGTGATCTACGAAGGAGATAAATAATTACTATTATTTAAACCCAAGTGAAACAATGATGGCAGCAGCATATTGTCAAGAAATTTAAATTATGCATGAAAAATGTGATTTAAAAACAATGTCCTTTGGGTAACACACAAGAACCTACACTTTTAAGACAAGGACTCGACCTCACATGTCAGAAGCTACTAAAGCAAAAGTTAAGTGACTTGGGCTATGAAATTTTGTCATGTCCATTTTAGTCACTGGACCTTTATTCCATGGACTACTGTCTTTACCATTTGGAGCTTTTTCTAAGAAACAGTGCATTCCCCAATTGAGATGAAGTAACTGGAAGATGTGAACAATTTATACAGCCTAACAAATGATGAATTTTATAAAAGTTAAACCTTTAATATTCTGTTGGAAGAAAACTATTCATGCTCCTGATGCATATTTTGATTGAATAAAACTTATTTTTTTAAATACAGTGTTTTAATTTTGACCTACAAAAACAGCAATTTCATATGGTACAAGGTAATATAAGGTTTTCTCCATTTACCCTTGACTAGTTAGAGATGAGTACAAAATATTTTCAGTAGTTGTAAAATATTTATCTTTACAGTTTTGGGAAACAAAATGATACAAACTATACTTCTAGGTACTCCTTTGTGTGAAAACTTTACCAGTTGAAGCAGGTTAAAATGCAGTATTTTGGGCTGACAGACATTTGATGGTGTTCACTAGCATACTTGAAGATCTCATCTTACTTGGAATTTTTGTTATACATACTTCTCTAAATGTTTAAGAACCTGGTTATGTTGCTCCTGAAAGTTTAATGAGTGCTGATTTTTAATAAATGATGCACTGCATGCTATATGCCTAGTTGTAGCATCAGATCATGATTTGTTATTACCCTGAATAGAGCTAGATATTTTGAGTAGAACTTTCCAGTGTTCTCAGGAGTTAACACTTTACATGGTAGTACTTGAGTTGTGATCATTACTAAAATCGATTATGCAGTTTCTTAAACTCTTTATTTCTTTAAGTTTCAGTAGTTAACTGTTTTTGTGAAAATGAAATAACCTCTCCAAGCTAGTCTAACAGTATTTGTTATGCAATATAATTCATTTTCTATTTCCACATAGTTGTTTTTAAAAACCTACAAACAGGTGAATTTTTATTCAGGTGTTTAGGTCTTCAAAGCACCTTACTTAAATAAGAATCTGTAAATATTCAGAAGAAAAACTCATGGTTCATTCTGACAGTGAATCATAGCCAAGCTGTAATCATGCTGATGAATAGTGTTCATGTGTTTGAAATAATTTTCTTCCTAGTTCTACATTTGTCTCTAAGTAATGCTAAGTCAAAAGTTATATAGATGCTTTTGGATGGAAAAAGTGATGAAATATAAGAATAGCCAGATGATAGTTTGTCTGAAGAAGGCTATTATACAAACTGAAATGGCTTCTTAGGACAAATGATAAGCTGCCTTCAACTTAAAAAATATGCAGTGATGGAAAAAAACACAAGTGGAATTGTACCTTTTTTATTTCTTTCCTTCACTGAAAGTCCTCATCTTACACACACACACACACACACACACACACACACACACACTGTCTCTCTCTCACACTCACACACTCTCTTTCTCTGACATCCTTGAGTTTTGCTGAAGTTCAACCTGGCTAACTATGAGCATCTAGGTTTACTCACCAAAGCCAGGTTATTGACAGAAAGGTGGTTTTTTTGTTTTGTTTTGTTTTGTTTTGTTTTTGAGCCATCTTGCTCTGTTGCGCAGGCTGGAGTGCAGTGATGAGATGTCAGCTCACTGCAACATCTGCCTCCCTGGTTCAAGCTATTCTCCTGCCTCAGCCTCCTGAGTAGCTAGGATTACAGTTGCTCACCATCACACCCGGCTAATTTTTATATTTTTAGTAGAGACGGGGTTTACTATGTTGACCAGGCTGGTCTCAAACTCCTGACCTCAAGTGATCTGTCCTCCTCAGCCTCCCAAAGTGCTAGGATTACAGGCGTGAGCCACCACGTCCGGCCAAGACAGAAATATTTTTAAAGCATCAGTTCCTTTCTCAGAACTTGATTTGCTCATGCACTAGAGAATTTCTGGTCCACATGCTTCTAGGTGTTACTCGATTCACTAATACTGAAACAGCTTAGCTTGTGAAAGATAAATTGTTCTTCAGATAGAGTGCTTAGAATTAGATTTGTGATCAGTGTTTTCCTTTTGTGTGAAATACTTTAGAGTACTGCTATTATGATTCTTGTTATTCAAATTAGAAGGTTATATACATAAAACTGAAGATTTTCTAGTACTAGTACTTATTCTTCATAAACACAGTGTGCAGAAATCTAGTTTTTTGGTGGTTTGTTTTAGATTCCAAACTCTGCCTAGTGGCAGAAAAACCTCTTAATAGTATGGGTCATCATGAAATCTGCCAACTTTAATCCAAATAAGTATCAAGAGTCTTCATTCAATATTCTTTCAAACTTGTTTGTCTTGAACAAATTAGAGTTTTAGCACTTATTGTTCAATGTACTATAGTAATTGTATTTAATAGTAAGAAAATATATAAGCAATGATTTTTTAAAAGGGAATTCTCAAGAGTTTTGGATTTCTTTCTGCAGTGCATAGAGGTTTCATATGCATGAACATTCGTGCTGTTTTATATTTTTTTCAATTAAAAAAAATTTAAAAGCATCCAGGCTCCCAAAGTTCATTTGTAAATAGTGGCTTGGAACTCTGCGCAATAGGGAAGCTCCTAAAGGCTCATTTAGACCATAATCTAGTTAATAGTATCATGCTGAGCTCTCAGTTTTCTTTAGAAAACCAATCGATCAATGTAGGAGGGAGAAAGAAGCAGAGGTCTTGTCTTTTTCCTGATGTGATTAGGAGGTTAAGTCCTTTGGTGTGGGTTTCTTTGTATTTGCCCCCTTACCATGCTGAACTCTGGTGAAATGTATAAGCAGGCTTGGCTTTTCCTTTCCTGGATGCTCTGTGCTTCAACATTTTATATCTTTCCTCCCATCAGAAATCCTGTGTCTTTGTGTGACAGTAGTTGGCTAGACTTTAAGAGAAAAGCATTTTCTACTAAGGTATGAACGAAGATAGTGGGAAAAGTGTCATTAAATTTCTTTCTTAAAAAAGGATGTTTATTAAGAATGAATCTTTACTATCTAACATTTCAGACAATATGACCACATTTCAGATACCATGGAAGCAGTACGTTTAGTGAATTAGCTGGTACTGTCTGAAGGTACATCCAATTTCCTTTAGGTTGTTGTGACTTTGCACAGCTTCCTCTCCTCTAATTCTGAATTTAGAGATTTTCTTCTCATTTCTAATTTTTAGTAGCTTATTGTTCTATCCAGTAGAGCATTATAAAAGTCAAATCTGCATCTTCCAACTTGTGGTACAGTGATGGGAATTTGGAAGCACCCCTGGAGCAAAGAGGCTAGGGATAGCATTAGCATCTCCCAAGACAAGTGGTGTAGGGGAAATGAAGGAAAGACCGTGGCCATATATACGCCAGGCGTTAATATATCAGAGGCTGCCTGTATTTAATTTAAAACTTTTGATGAAACTCAATGGATAAGCATCTTTGTCTTATTTGTCAATAATACATTACTTGCAATTATATTAAAACTTATTCTAAATACCTGTACCTTTCTTGTTCTGTAGATGTGTAGATGATGTTGCTTGTTTGTCAAAATATTATCTTTTATAAAAGAAAGTCCTGCTTCTTATCATGATGTATGTGACTTAAATGATTGTTTCATATTAAAACTATTTCTTCCTTATGTACTGTTTACATATACCTCTTTTTGGGATATTAGTTCAGTACTTTTATACAAATCTGAGTGTGTTCCACATTGGTGACATGTATTTTTGCAGTAACTTTTTGTTTTGTTCTTAGAGCATGTCTAAAGTAACACATGCACTAGTGCTGTGGTCTGTGGCAAAATTACTGTAATTCAAATTGGAAAAAAAAATGTTTCCAGACTTTGTCCAACATTTATTCCTATGGCAAAGGAAATTACTATGTAATACTAATTATTTCTTATGCTGGTATGTTTTAAGCTACTCTATGAAGTATGTGAAACATCAATATTTACGGATTAATAGATGGCCTGATGTCTTTCAAATGGGAGAGGAGTAAATTTTAGTGTTACCAACTCATGACATTTGTAATACAATAACTCTTAAAATTTTTATTTTCCACTTACAGGTATAATTTACTAAGTAATTACCTTAAATGGTAGTGCATGTTAGGATTTTTTAGCCCATACTACTAAAATTATATAGTCACTTTGAAATTATGCTGATATTTCCCAGCCAAAAAAGACATCATTCACTCCCTCATAACCAAAATAAGTAGCACTGTAATGTTTATCTTCATTTATTAAGACATGATGAAGATACCATAAGACTCCTCTAATTTACCTGGAATTTTTAACCATTGATTCAAGGACTTGAGTGCTGTTTACTTTGTACTACCTGATGAAAGGATTTGGTAATAAAGGTTATAATCAAGATTTTAAAGAAAAATGTTCAATCTTGAAGGCAAAGTTTTAAGCTTTTTATTTTAGAGGTGTTTACTTAAGAATAGTAATTTAAAAGCATTCTTGTTTTGTCATTAAGACAAGTACCCAAAAGAATTGTAATAAGTAATACTTGGCCAATGCAAATTTGTATATTTGAAATTATATACTTGAAAGAAAAAAATGAATGCTTGTGAGTGCTTAAACTGGGTATCTTTTTAAAAATTCAAATTCTAGACATATCAGTTTAAATTATCCTGAATACGGTTTTACTATATCAGTGATGTATATTACAAAATGTCTACCTGTGTTATGTTAATGATATCTCTATGCTGCGTCATATTTGGCATGGTTATGGTATATTTTGTACTTTTGATTGTCGACTATTGATAGGATTGATATAGCAATAAATCTGATTCAGTCCTAATATTTTTTAAAATGCTAGGTACCATACTGTATCATAATCCTATTACATTTGACTTGAATGCCCCAAATTTTCATAGTTCTATATTTTATGTTAAAAATTTAGGATTACATGTTAGGGATTTATTTTTGTCTGCTATTTTCACATACATTCTTTTAGAACTGGATCTGTTTCTATTTAGATCATAGAAGTCTAAAGAAGTATTATTAATTCACGAACTGCTTTGTGGAAACATTTAAATAAAGTATGAAATGACTAGATTACCCCAAATTGTTTATTTTTTTATGTGGTTAATGACCAGGTTACAGTTTTCAGACAAATAAAATTGGCTTGATAACTGATGGAATATAGTAGATAATGGAAAGTTTGACTCTGTAAGGGCCTCCAAGTGTTAAACAAATACATTCTCAGTTCTGAATTACTTCATAGGAACTACTTAAATAACGGCAAGCCAGACTCCTTTTTCTTTTTGAGATACTTAACACAATTTGCCTCTTCTGAT